AGAAGACTTCTGTACAGCAAAGGACACCATCATTTGAATGAAAAGGCAGCCTACAGAATGGGGGTGGGGGAAAGCATTACCAGCAGTACATTGACAGAGAGTTAGTGTCTAAAATATACAAATAATTAAAAAAAAAACCTATACACCAAGAAAACAACAACCCAGCTAAAAATGGGGCATGGAACTAAACAGAATTCTTAAAAAAAGAAATGCAAGTGACTGAGAATATATATATTGGATATTTAAATATCCAATATCCTTAGACATCAGGGAGATGTAAATTAAAACTACTTTGAAATTTCATTTACCTCAGTCAAAATAGCTAAGATCCAAAACACAAATGCTGGCCTGACAGGGATGTGGGGAAAGGGAAAGACTTAGCCACTGCTGAGGGGAATGCAAACTGATACAACCACTATGGAAATCAGTGTGAAGGTGCCTCAACAATGCTAGGAATAGATCCACCATGTGATCCAGCTATATAGCCTCTGGATGTATACCCAAAGGATTCTATAGCCTACTCCAGAGACACTGGCTCATCCATGTCCATTGCTGTTCTATCCACAATTGTCAGGAAACAGTAGTGTATTTACACAATGGAATATTTTTCATCTGTAAAGAAAAGTGAAATTCTAAAATTTGCATATAAATGGATCTTTTGGGGTAAGGTAATCCAGGCCCAAAAAGACAAATATCACATGTTCTTTCTCATGGGGATGCTAGCTTTCAATCTTTAGATGTGTGTGTTTAGTTTACATTACACATAGGTGTTTCCCCGAGGCATGATCAATAGTCTTATGCAGCTGCAAGCTCTGCAAGCTGTAATAACCGGCCTGGCAAGACTGGTACAGTAGTGGCATGAACACTGTGGAGTAACCAACCACTTTTTGGTTGGATTTAACACCTGCTCCACAGGATGAAACCTGTCTTAGTTAGATTTCTATTGCTGTGACAAAACACCATGATCAAAAACAACCTGTAGAGGAAAGAGTTTATTTCCAGTTAAAACTCTCAAGTCACATTTCATCACCAAGGGAAGTCAGGGCAGAAAACTGGAAGCAGAAACTGAAGCAGAAAACATGGATGAACCCTGCTTAGTGCCTTGCTCCTCCTGGCTTGTTCAGTCTGCTTCCTTATACAACCCAAGACTATGCCTGGGGGTGGCACCACCCACCCACATAAATCATTAATCCGGAAAATGCCCCCACAGATCTGCCTACCAGCAATCTGATACAGAAATATTCTCAATTGAAGTTATCTTCTGAAGTAATTCTAGCTTGTATCAAGTTGATGGAAAGCACTAACCGGGAGAGAACCCATGCCTAGTATTTTTAGCTAGGCTAAGACATAACATGGCTGGGTATGTCATCGGCCCTACTGGAGAACCTACTGCTGTTATTCTGATAAATGGACATACTATTAAACTGCTCCCTAAGTACTTCTCTTTATTTTCATAGTTTAGTGAGTCTCCCAACCCTCAACATAGAAGCTTCTTTTTGTGGTTGATGGCAATTAATACAGAGACACACAACTCACAGTGTCTGAGATTACATGCATGAGACCTGAACAAGAGCAAACCATCTAAACTCACGGCATAAATAGTGGAGAGGCGCATGAGGTCCTACCTCTAGTTGAGAACCTATTGGCAACTGATGGCATCTGGTAGAGAGTTAGTTTTCTTCAGGGATGGAGACCCTGAGGGACTAGCCCCCTTCTAGTAGAATGCCCAACCCCCAGGAACATACTGGCAGCACCAAGTGGACTCAATGAGATTTTACATGGAACAAGTGAAGCTGGGAAGGAAAGGTGTGCGAAGGCTCTCTGCCAACCTGATACAAGCCTAGCTGTATCTAGGAAGAGGACATCTTAAATGGAGAAAATGCCTTCATAAGATTGGCCAGTAGGCAAGTCTGTGGGGTATTTTCTTAATGACTGATGTGAAAGGGCCCTCCCCACCCACTGAGCAGTGCCATTCCTGGGCAGGTAGTCTTGAACCATAAAAGAAGGCAGGCTGCAAGCCATAAGGGACACATCAGTAAGCAGCATTCCCTCACAGCTTCTGCCCTCATGTCTGCTTTGAGTTCCTGCCTCAAGTTCCTGCCCCGGCTTTGTTTGATGATGGACTGTGATATGGACCGGTCACCTGAAATAAACCTTTTCTTCCCCAAGTTGCTCTCAGTCATGGCGCTGTATCCTAGCAACAGAAACTCTAAGATGGGGGCGAGGGAGGAAGTTGAAGGCTCCTGCACCATTTTGTAAAAGTTTCCCAATGCTTTGATTACCACCTCCACCGTTGATCACATGGCCACGGTGAGCCTGATTCTGAGACTATGGCTCTAGTCCGTTTGCCTGCCTGTGTCTGCTGTCCCTCTCTTTATTGCTCTGCTATTTTAGTAAGTCTCGATTGTATGATAGGGCAAATGCCTCCCTCCAATTGGGTCTTCTAAATTTACCTTTAAAAAGAAACTTGATCTTACAAATAAAATTTATAATTAATCTGTAAAGTTCTAGAGAGAGGGGAAAAATCTCTGTTGCAATTAAAAATTTATTAATGGTGGAAATCTATCATTTGGTTAGTGGGAAAGTGACACCATGACAGTACCCCATTGTTGGCATCACTGTCTTGCTCTTAGTTTTTTTTTTTTAAATAATTTACTTAATTTTATTACATGTGCATTGGTGTGAGGGTGTCAGATGCCCTAGAACTGGAGTTATAGACAGTTCTGAGCTGCCATGTTGGTGCTGGAAATTGAACCCGGGTCCTCTGGAAGAACAGTTAGTGCTCTTAACCACTGAGCCATCTCTCCAGCCCCTTGCTCTTAGTTTTTGGAGTTTATTTCTACCAACATGTGTCCAGTCCACAATCCTTTATCTGAAACTCTTAGAGTAAGCCTGCTTCAGAATTCATAGACCTTCAGATTTAAAACCATGGTAGGCACCATGATGAAAATATGTAATACGTTACTGCGTCGTTGCCTGGTAGTCAGCGATATTTACAGCTTCTCTTATTTTGGTGGAACACGACCCCATGGTGTCCAATAGACACTCTGCAGTGATGATAGTGTTGGTTTTTTTTAAATTTGCATAATACAATGTGATTCTCATTAGCCACATGTGCTTTGGGGGTATCCAAAATGTGGGTTGGATGACTAAGGATTGAAATTTAAATGTTCATACAATTGTGTCCGAGATAGTGGTACATGCTTACCATCCCAGAACTTACACGGCTGCAAGTTCAAGCCCCGCCTGTTCTAGATAGTGAATTCTATGCCAAGCAGCGCTGCCTACACCCTACATAGCAAGACCTGTCCTCAAAACAAACAAACAAACAAACAAACAAGCCGGGCAATGGTGGCGCACGCCTTTAATCCCAGCACTCGGGAGGCAGAGGCAGGTGGATCTCTGTGAGTTCTATGCCAGCCTGGTTTGCAGAGCTAGTTCTAGGACAGTCAAGGCTACACAAAGAAACCCTGTCTTGAAAACAAAAGCAAAACAAAAAGCCAGTCACAACGGATAAACCAGTTACAGTGAGTGTGAATATAAATAACTGCTGTGGCAAAGTGGCTACAATACCATACAAAGCAGCACTAATAGTTTCCAGAGAAATGGTTCAAGGGCTGTGTATGCTCCTTCACCCCTTCCGCTTAGGAAAATCTTTATTTGTTCTCATGTTTAGTTGACGATTTGGCTAAGAACATAATTCTGAGTTTTAAAAAAAAAAATATTTTTTTTAACCTAAAAATTGTCTATTACTGGCGCACATCACCTTGACTTCCAGGGCTGCTTTCAAGAACTATGGTGACATCAGAATGCAGAGTCTTGTCACAATGATCAGCTTTTGTCCTTTTAACCCAGTGATTCTCAACCTTCCTAAGGCTGCAACCCTTGAATACAGTTCCTCATGTTGTGGTAATTCCCAGCCACAAAATTATTGTGTTGCTACTTCATAACTGTAATTTTGTTTCTGGTATGAATTGCAATGTAATATCTGATGGGTAGGATATCTGATATGCGACCCCTGTGAAAGGGGCATCAGAGTCCCCTAAAAGGGTCACAACCCACAGGTTGAGAACCACTGTTTTTACCCAAAGTGCTTTTCTATTCCCTGACTCTGTGCCTTTGTGCTGGGTTTGTTTTCATTCATTACCTTCTTTTAGACACTTAACGAGCCCTTTTGAGCAGGAAATTCATATCCCATAGTTCTGTGAAATTTCCTTGATTTATTTCATTCATGATTTCTTGGTTGCCTTTCTTCCTGTTTATCTGTCTCGCTGGGGATGAACCCCTGGCTTTCTGCATGCCAAGCAAGCATTTACCATTGAGTAATAGCTTCAACTCAATAATCTCCTCCCTTTGTTTTTTGTGGGTTTTTTTTTTTTAACCCCTGAGAACTTTTATTACTCAGACAATGGCATCTTGCACTTCTGGTTTTCCTGTATTTTTCTCCCCTTTACGTCTATTTCTTTTTAAGCCAGCTTTTCTGGGAATTTTTTCAGCTCTATTGCATTTTTTATTTATGATCTCATATTTTTAATTTCTAACAGGTGTTTCTCTTTTCATCACAGTTGGTTCTCGTTTATGGTGTGACTTCTTTATCTCTGAGAATATTTCGCTAGAAGTTTGTCCTTGGTTTTACTTTTTTTTTTTAGTTCCGTCGTTCCTGTTGCCTACAAATCACGCTTTCCTGTTTCTTTGCTCTCTTCTTTGTCTTGTTGAAGGCTTCTCTTGGCAGCCGATCACCCATGGCCGTCAATTCACATGTAAGATCCGGGGCATAAAATGTTCTTCAAAAGCTTTGGCCAGGTGCCTGGAGTCTGTCAACAATCCACCTTACCATGAAATGGCCTGGCTGAATCATTTAATGGGGAACCCTGATCTTACCTGTGTTCCAAGGTATTGCCTCTTTGCTTAGTGGCCTGGCTGCTGCCCCATGGCTGTCTCACAGAAGACAGGAACAAAGGGATTAGCATCTCATCCAGATGAGGTCACTCAGTGCCCCTCCTCTTCCAACTCCAGGGCTTGCACACTTAATGCAGAGACTAACATCAAGAAAACACCATGAATCTTCAGCTCAAGAGAAGGAATCATGGGGAAGATCTATAAACCTACTTTCAAACTGGATTCCAAGTGAGTCTCCCCTGGTTAGCAGCGCCTTTTTGTCTCCCAAGTTTCCAGCTACCTAGAGTCCTTAGCTTTGAGCCTTTGAGACCTTGGTCCCATGTTATTTATCAGACTAGGTCTCTATTCCCTCATTCCCCTTAGAATTCAGCCTTTATGGCTCTGCTAACTCATTTAACTATTTCTCGAATTCACTAAATATGCTTGCTACCTGCTCCTTTCCTCCGGTCCCTGTTCCTATGGGTTTACGTCTTAAAAATTCTTCTACTGTCTTTTTTTGTGAGATCTTTGAGAAGCAAAAAGAGTAGATGCACCAGGCAGTGGTAGCACATGCCTTTAATCCCAGCATTCGGGAGGCAGAGCCAGGCAGATCCCTGTGGGTTCAAGGCCAGACTGGGCTACAGAGTGAGTTCCAGGAAAGGTGCAAAGCTACACAGAGAAACTCTGTCTCAAAAAAAAAAGTGGGTGCAATTTTGGTGTTTTGAGACAGGGTTTCTCTGTGTAACAGCCCTGGAACATGATTTGTAGACCAAGGCTGGCCTTGAACTCACAAAGGTTCCTCATCCTTTTTTAATGTCAGATGGTAAAATAGCTTTCTGTCTTCTCTCCTCCTTCAAAAGTGGTTGATTCCAGTGTACATGGCCCTTAGTTGTCCAAACACTTATTAGACATTTGACGTGGCTTAGCCTGTTTCTGTCACTAACATGAGACCAGATGAGTGGGTGCTGAGTGAAAATGTGCAGAACAACACTGAAGCTCCAGGAGCAGCTACACTGAATTCTTTATTTTATAATGATAAATAATTTTATTGGCATAACAAAAATATTTATCATTTCACATATGCATTACAATGTTTCTATCTAAAACAAATTTACTATCCAAACTTGGGATATTATAATTTACACTTTAGAATGAATATCTAGCATTTTTTTTACTATGTATTCTTTTTTGTCTATACTAAAATTTTTATCTCTTCCTTTCTATATGTATAATGTTTTAACACATAGATAGTGATTTCTTATACCTGAATTTGTATCACATGGACACAAATCCCAAGAAGATGAAAATTACTAATAGTAGTTTTACATAAAGAAACAAATTCAGGAATATTAATGGATATTTTATATATATGTAAGTATATATTGTTACATATATTATATGCATATATATAACATATTCTCTCTATATGAGTTCAATACAGAGCCCATATAGTCTAGTTAATGGCAGCAGCATAATCCTATGTGGCTCATTCTTATCATCTATTAGTTGTCTTTCTTCACCTCCACTCTTCCCACTTATAATGCATGTGAGCTGAATTGTACCATGTATTAACCATTGCAGGTGACATAAAAGTGTTCTCTTTTCTTTTCTATAGAATTAAAAAACTACATACAATACAATATTTTGACCACATATCCCCCCTACCTCCCTACCCACGTATTATGTTCTCTCTATGTATTTAAAAACTACTAACCAAGCAGCTACACTGAATTCTAAAGGACCCGTGAGCTGACAGCCCAGGCCCCCAGCCTCTGGGGCAATCCCTTTCCTCTTAACCCTTCAGTGGCTATGATTGGCATGTTCTGGGCTTAGAACACGCAGATACATTTGACCCAATCCTTGTGAGTCCTCTGTTCTCAGCAAACATCAAAATGGAAAGGAATCAACTTTGAATTCTTGCTTTCTAAGAACATCTTTCAATATACAAACAAAACAAAAAACAAAAACAAACAAACAAACAAAAAACACCAGAAGCAAAATCCAATCAAGATAGACCCATTGAGTCGTCCTCACAGCTACCTGGTTCCGTTTTATTTCTAACATTGAGATGGAACCAGGGCATCCTTAGCCAAAGTAGCTCATATAGTACTAAAGAACTAGTATGTGTAATTAACAAACTATTAGTGATTTGCTTGTTTAAACAGCATATTCAGTGCAGCATAAAACAAACCCATCTGAAACTAGAGATAAGGTGGTAAATCTCAGGCCACGCTAAGAGAGGTATGACTTGTCTAAAGTTTATTTTTACATATGTATTAAGTGTCAGGTACTTTATTAAGTACTTTGAAAATACTGTATTGCCTCAGCCAATCTCTTATAACAGTGCTAGGAGAGGAGTATATGCCCCTCATTTTCACCTATGAAGCAATAGGCCCAGAAAGGTCCCACAGTTGGTGGTAGAAACCTCACCAAAGGCAGGCAGCTAGGAAGGCACCAACTCGTCTACGAATCACCCTATGCCAATGGTCTTCCCCTGGGGGCTATTTGTCCTCTCTCCTCCAGGGGACCTTTGGGAACACCTGCTGTGAGGTGGTCTGTATGTCAAATTACTCTGATTGGTCAATAAAAAAAACATTGATTGGCCAGTGGCTAGGCAGGAAGTATAGGCGGGACTAACAGAGAGTAGAAAAGAAAGAACAGGAAGGCAGAAGGAGTCACTGCTAGCCGCCACCATGACAAGCAGCATGTGAAGATGCCGGTAAGCCATGAGCCACGTGGCAAGGTATAGATTTATGGAAATGGATTAATTTAAGCTATAAGAACAGTTAGCAAGAAGCTTGCCACGGCCATACAGTTTGTAAGCAATATAAGTCTCTGTGTTTACTTGGTTGGGTCTGACCAGCTGTGGGACTGGCGGGTGACAAAGATTTGTCCTGACTGTGGGCCAGGCAGGAAAACTCTAGCTACAAACACCTGGAAGTAGTTTTTTTTGTCACAGCTTGGAAATGTATTTGGGAAGCCAGCTACTGATACAGTGGGCAGATCTAGTCAAAGATGCTGCAAAATATTCTACAACATCGACGATGGCTCTCCATGAAAAGAAATTTATAGCCCCAGGGTCATTGTCCTAAGGATGAGCAAGGACACTCTAGAACACAGTGACTGCTAGTCGCTGATGTTCCTGCTCAGTTTTTCAAGTCTTAAAGTAGTTATTGTTATATATCTCTCTTTCTTTAGTTATTGTTATACATCTCTCTTTGGCCAGTGTGATGTCTTTGGCAGTGACATGTATCACTTCTAGGCAAAGTCTAAAGCCTGTGCGTGCCACTGTATTTCCTGCTTTCTTCTTTGGTTCTTTTGGAAATCTCGGAAAGATAGAGTTGGACTCCTTCCACCTGGCTGTGTCCTCATTTGAGGATAAATCAGAACATGCCCTTTGAATGACCCTTGACTAGAACCCTAGCCAGAGCCACACATCCTCTCTGTGGCTTTAAGCTGATGAGCTCTGGAGTCACTTGTGCATCCTTAGCACAGACTCTCATGATTGATGAGGTGGCCTCCCATTTCCCTGACTCAGGAACTGGACACCGGGCTTCCACAGTTCCCCATCTGTCCCTTAGATGAACAATGTCCCGTCCCCATAGGATGATGCCGGTGCGGCAAAGCCGTGCACAAACTAAAAGTCTGATTTCGTTGCCCCACTAACCATTCCTAGATTCGTGTTGTTTCATGTCGTGGAAAATCTCCAGAAGAAGTTGCACAGTATTTGTTGCCATAACAACCAGGCAACTCAGCTTTTCCCAGTTAATATAAATACACTTTCTAGTCTCAGTATTCCTCAACCAGTTCTGGTGAGGTCAGAATCATTATCATCACAATACCTAGGATTACATGAACCTCAAATCCAAGGAAGTGTGAACAGCTTTTAGTCAGAGTGCTCAACTTTATTCCCAGGGCTTCTGAAAGCTTAAGAAGCCTAAGCCTGTGGCTTTACAGTTTGTAGATCTTATTTCATATGTCAAATTAATCTACCTAGTGATGAATTGGAATTTCACTTCAGTACACCTACTATGGATCAAAATGGGGTGCCTTTATGGCAATTTGCCAACATAGATTAATAAATAATCCATATAATTCTTATGGTTTCAACTCATGAAAAAAAAATCTGGATACTCAAAACATGATCTAGATTGAAGAACTGGAGCAGAGCAGATAAGCAAGAATTTTTGTAACCCAGTGGTTATATAAAGTCAGAGATGAAACCGATCATTGCTTCTCCGTGGAGAAACACCTCTTCCCAGAGCATCTCCATCCTTCAAATGCCAGGCTTCTTTCTCTGCACACTGTATAACTTTATCATGCTGTACGTATGTGCAAAACGCCCTCCTTCCTCTTTTCACTAACCCAAATACAACATATCCCTCTGTAATATCAAGTTCAAGGTTCTCTCCTATGAAAACGCTCAAGGAGATGTTTCCTCCTAAAACTAGAATTCCTAATCTGGGCTATTTGGTACTGGGAGGATGTATTCTTTAAGGGCAAATGTGTTACCATAGCAAAAGGATGCCACTATTCAGGAAACTCGGTGTTGATATCTTGAGGGAAACCCTGAATTATAGAGGTACATGACATGAAAGCATCCGTGATCTGATAGAACTACTGGAAGGGGAAATACATAAACACATGACAGTTTAACTTTTACCTATGCTCTGGGGATGGGTTTGTTAGTTATGGTAAATTAGAATGCAAGCTATAGGGTATGCAGGGAAGACTAGCAAATAGGCCCCAAATCCTGAGGCTGGAAGCAAAGAGCTGAGAGAGGGTGCCATACAAACTTCCAAAATAGGAACCCATAGTCCTACCTAGTTATGATGCCTATGAACCACAACATCAACCAGCAAAGTATGACAACCCCAAGGATACAATAATGACACAGATACCTTGGCAGTAACCAACAGCTCTTTAATTGGACTTAAGGCCTACTCAACAAGAGGGGAGACATTATTCCTGGTGCTGGAAACCTAGACAATCAACTGCCTGGGGCTGGTGAAGTCATGGATATTAGAGGAGAATTTACAACCTCTACTTTATTAAACCAGCACGATCCTGAGCTACTTTCTAATTATTTATAAACAGATGTAGTTCCCATGTTTCATCAAGAAAATTTCTCTTTGTGACAGATGGAAACCATTACAGAAAACTACACCTCATCAAAATGTAAAAAGAATGGCTGGCCATGCGCTACCAAGTCCAAACGGACACATCCACAGCACAAATCCAGGTCCTATGGTTCAAGAATCATCATAGGAAAAAGGGTAGAAAGTCTGTAAAAGCAAGAGGAACAGGAAGTTTACTGTAAGGCTGTGTCTCCTAAAAACATCAGAGAAACTACAACTATGATGTTTCATCAATATGGCCACCTAAACAAGACCTGAACAAGGACGATACAAACAGACATGCTGGCATGGAAGAGGAAATCTCGTGTGGCTCCACTCCCAGACAACTAAGGGATGCTGAGAGTGGGAGGAATAGTCTTCCCCAGAGAAAAGACCCCCAACTGGTTACCCAACACTAGTGGTCAATTCTGAGATCACATACATACAAGTAGCATTATATGGATTAAGCAGGTTGTATTTATATAATTAGGAATATATATGAAGATAGATAAATAGAGATAGATAAATAGATAGATAGATAGAGAAATAGATAGATAGATAGATAGATAGATAGATAGATAGATAGATAGATAGATAGATAGATAGATAGATAAGGATAGATAGATAGATGATAGATAGATAGATAGATAGATAGATAGATAGATAGATAGATAGATAGATAGAGATTAAACAACAATTAAAGAAAGGTGGGCCAGCCGGGTGGTGGTGGTGCACTCGGGAGGCAGAGCCAGGAGGATCTCTGTGAGTTCAAGGCCAGCCTGGTCTATAAAGTGAGTTCCAGGAAAGGCACAAAACTATATAGAGAAACCCTGTCTCAAAAAACCAAAAAAAGAAAAAAAAAGGGGGGGCATGAATTTGAAAGAGAACAAGAGGTAGGGTATATTGGGAGATACTTTAGGGATGAAAGGGAAGAGGAAAAATAATATAATTATGTGTGTACATTATATGTATTATATATACATTATATATAATACATTGTTTTATATATATAGTTCATTTTGTTTTTGTTTTTGTTTGTTTTGAGACAAGTTTCTCTATTATGTATCTCTGGCTGTCCTGGAACTTGGTGTATAGACCAGGTTGGCCTTGAATTCACAGAGATCCACCTGCCTCTGTCTTGCAAGTACTGGGATTAAAGGCACGTGCCACCATACCTGACAATATAATTGTGTTTTGATTTCAAAAAAATTAAAAGCTCTTATAAAAAAGAGCTGAGTGAGATCAGTGCCAAGAAGCTATATGCCACCATTAAAAGTCATCAAATGTCAAGGAAACACCCCAAGAAAGCAAGTCAAAATATGAGGAAGATTGCCTATATCTGATCTAATTATAGCTATAAAAATTACCTTCAAAATGTAATACTTTCGAGCCATAACTTTAATTGTTCTTAAAAATGTCTAATTTGGGCATGGCTGGCAGGCATGGTTGTTTGCAGTAGACATGACCTGGGGAATCCTACAGGCTGGGAATTGGAACCCTCAAAAGGTGCCTGGGATGGTTAACCTCAACTGTCAATTTGATGAGATCTAGACTTTCCTGGGTGTGCCTGTAGGGGATTATCTTATCATTTAGATTTGCCTGTTGGGGATTATCTTAACTGGGTTAATGGAGCTGGAAAGATCTGCTCACTGTGAGTGGCGGCATCCCCTGAGCAGAAATCTGGACCACAGAAAGAAAAGAGAAAGTGAGCAGAGCACAAGCTTCCATCCCTTTCCCCATCTTAATTATGGATGCCATGCTACCAGCTACCTCAAGCTTCTGTTGCTCGGACTCCTCTACCATGTGTTGTGGGGTAATGATTCTGTACACTGGTTTAATAAAACACTGACTGGCCAGTAGCCAGTCCAGGGAGCAGCATGTAATGGCACACAGGTAAAGCCACAGAAAACGTGGCGATACATAGATTAACAGAAATGGGCTGAGTTTAAGTGCAAGAGCTAGTCAGTAGGAAGCTTGAGCTAATGGCCTAGCAGTTTTAATTCATAGAAGCCTCTGTGTGTTCATTTGGGTCTGAGCAGCTGCAGGACCATGAGGCCATGGGAGCCAGGCAGGCACAGGAAAACTTTCTACTACAACTATGGTGGACTGTCACCTCAAATTGTGAGCTGAAATAAGCCCCTTCTCCCTTATGTTGCTTTTCTTGGAGTATTTTATCACAGGAAAGAAACATATGACAGCCCCTTTTACCTGTTGGAAGTGGTTGTGCGAAAGACTCAGATACCCAGGAGTTGACTGGGCCTTCCTGAACTGTTATCTTGTTATTGCCACATGACCTTGGGAGCATAGAGACTCCAAGGTGGCCGGATATGTTGGTTTCCTATTGCAACAAAGCAAATTTCTACAATCTTAGTTGCTTAAAGAGTGCATATCTAGGTCACAGTGTTCTTAGATCAGGCTTAAGACATGTGTGTTGATTCACTGGATCATCTAGTAAGATCTTCCAGGACTTCACCTAAAATGATAATTAGGCTAGAGACTGAACTGTTGGGGAATATTATTTTAAGGTTAATATTATTTTTGTTTATGTTACATTTGTTTAACTCTGTGAAGCTGTGTTACTGTGCCTATCTAAAACACCTGATGGTCTGATAAAGAACTAAACAGCTAATAGCAAGGCAGGAGAAAGGATAGGTGGGGCTGGCAGGCAGAAAGAATAAATAGAAGAAGAAATCTGAGAGGAGAAGGAACCAGAGAAGGAGGAGGAGGACTCCAGGGGCATCAAGGAGGAGCCAGCCATCCAGGAACACAACAAGCCATGGAGTAAGAGTAAGATTTACAGAAGTAAGAAAACAGGAAAAGCCCAGAGGCAAAAGGTAGACAGGATAAAGTTAAGGAAAGCTGACAAGAAACAAGCCAAGCTAAGGCTGGGTATTCATAATTAAGAATAAGCCTCTGTGTGTGATTTATTTGGGAGCTGGGTCTCAGGCCCCCCAAAAGAGCAAAAACAAACAACAACACTGAACTGGGCGTACCTTGCCCTGAGGTTTAGTAGAGCTTGTCCCTGGCGCTACAAGGTTCAACTTTTGGCTGGGTGTCTGCCGGCTCTCATTCTTAGCCCCTGACCATCTTCCGAGAAACGGAATAGAGACCCCCACTTCTTAGAAGAATGCATATGCATCACCTTAGGAGGAAAACATGTTGGAATGGGACTCTCCGCTCCTGTTTGAGTTCTGGTCATAATTAAGTATGTGCACATGCAGAATACATTATTTCCTTTCCCCCGGGGATGGATTTGTTTACTGAGATGTGGCACAAGGGAGCCAAGTGGAAGGGAAACCATGCAGTCTGGAGAAAACATTTTCAAAGATAAGTGTTGTCATCCAAGCTGATTTGAGAGAAGGAAATCTGTTGGTGCTCCAAGGGAGTTTGTTAGAAGAATGATATTCACTTTTGCAACATAGACAAAGGGCCTGCTATTGTTTCCTCCTGTAGCTCTGTGGGTTTCAGCTCCTGGACAAGAGTGTGAGCTTTAAGAAAATAGAAACATTGGGTTTTGTTGTTGTTGTTGTTGTTGTTTTAATCTTCTGTATTCTTTGAGTAGTGCTAGTCCTGGGGGAGAGACCCAGATCATTTGGACTGAAGACAGGAATTCTTCACTTCCCATGAGAACTCAGCGTGCAAACTACATCTTAGAAAAGTATTGATGGAAACAATGTTTATCCTCTCTACCACCTCCACAGCCCTTGGCATCAAGAAACAGTGTGAGCTGAGCACGGAGGCATCTTCCAATAATCGGAGCACTTGATAGGCTGAAGCAGGGCGATCTTGAATTCGAGACAAGCCTGAGTTACCTAAGTGAGTGCGAGCCAGCCTGAGCTACACAGGATGACCTTGTCTTGAAGAAGGAGGAAGAGAAGGAGAAAAAGAAGAGAGGGGGCATGAGAAAGAGTAACAGTAGCAGCAGAGGCACAACATGGTTTTATGAAGGCAGCTGGCTATCCAAGGACATTTCTTCCTCTTTGGAATCTATCGCCACATGACTGAAAGGCAAAGGAAAGATAAACATGCAGAGGCATTTGGCTGTGCTCACAGACACATGCGTAGGTCACAGGAAGGTCTTTGGAAGGTCTGGTCATGGAAAATGTCTCCAAGTGCCTTCCTCTTCCCACCTCCCTCCCCACCCCCCAGTGGAATGGAACTAGAGAGCAGGCTCAAAGGACAGTTCCGTCTCCTTGCTATATAGAAAGACTTCACGGGAGCTGCTTTGATTCTGTGCTCTCTTCTAAAATTGTGTAAACTCCAAGCTTACCCTGAGCAGAGAGCTCAGATACAAACCTTTCTGGCCACAGCATCTTTTCTTCTCATTTGTGACTTTTTTTTTTTTTTTTAATTCAAATTCAGTCTCTCCAGAACCATTACAAAATACCCTCCTGTGTTTAATCACGGGGTCTCCTCCTCCTTTGGCTTAGAAACATACCGTCTGTGATAAGGAAAGAAACCGAAATTTATTCAGGTGCAAGTGGAAATGACTGCCAATTGCTCAGGGCTCCATTCTCAAGCTTAAGAGTATCTAAGGGCCACCGTGCCGATCCCTGGCCCAACCCCAGGCCCTTGTGTGAGAATGTGTCCATAAAGGGGCTCGGGAGTCTGCATCCTTCAATGCTGAATTACCCAGTGGGAGGGAGGCTCCCCTGCTCCTGGGAGCCAGCAGCAAGTCTGATGGCGGCGGCTTCCCACATTCACATAGTGAATTTTCCCTTCCCTTCTCTACACGCCAAGCTTGCCTTCAAGAACAGAAATCAGAGGGCAGGCCTCACTGATGAGGAGTCTTCCCATTTTATCAGTTATGATGCTATTAATTATGTCTGTCCACAATTCCCAGTTGGCCATAGGCTCCCTTTGAGACTGGATTTTTTCCTCTTGAAACCAAACTAAACCTTACTTATCAGTTCCAATTTCCCAAACTCTGTTCCCTGTGGTGTCACTTCTGATTACATTCAATTCCCAAGTCAAATTAAAACTTAGCATTAGGGATTGAAATGAAACCTTAAAGAGGATCCCAAGTCCATTTATGTCTTTGCTCCAAGGCTTCCAGGCACCATTGTACTTTTGCTAATAGCGTCTTTTCCTGATTTATCTTGCATTCATGGTAATCTGGGCCCCAGAGCTTGAATTCGAGACAAGCCTGAGTTGCCTAAGTGAGTTCAAAGCCAACCTGGGCTACACCATACAACCTTGTCTTGAAGAAAGAGGAGGAAAAGGAGAAAGAGAATACAAGATCCCTGGAGAGATGGCTCAGAGTTTAAGGACACTGGCTATTCTTTCAGAAGACTGGGTTCAAGCCTGTATGGTGTCTTACAACCACCTGTAACTCCAATCCTAGGGGATCCAATGCCCTCTTCTGAACTTTGAGGTCACCAAGCATACATGTAGTGCACATTCATACATGCAGATAATACCTCCATATACATGAAATAAACAAATTGTTTTTAAAAAGGAATCCGGGGCCAACCATACCTCCCACAACTCCTCCAATCAATGTCTTCTGTGCCATCAGCTTGAACCCAGGGTCATAGCTCCTAAAAGGCCTTAGCAGCAGTGACCTCAGTGTGTGTGACTGCTGCTAATGTATCCTGTAGAGACACTCTCTCATTTATTCATGGTATTAGTCAAAGAGCCACAGAAGGAAGGCTGGCATACATGAGATATCTTTGTTCAAACAAGAATTCTTGTTGTTCCATGTATAAAGACATTGGGTGTAAGCCAGGCAGTGGTGGCACATGCCTTTAATCCCAGCACTCAGGAGGCAGAGGCAGGTGGATTTCTGTGATTTCGAGGCCAGCCTGGGCTACAGAGTGAGTTCTAGGAAAGGCACAAAGATACACAGAGAAACCCTGTCTCAAAAAACAAAAACAAACAAACAAAAAAAAAAAACAATAACCAAAAAAAAAAAAGACATAAGGCATGATTAGGTACCCACTCTCTTCACCTCGTGTGGAATCGGAGAATTGCTGAGAAAGAACAACTATGTTGAAGATTTTGTAGCTGCATTTCTCGGATATGAATCGTAGAGTATTGACCCCATCGTTCTGCAGGTAATGACACAGACTTAAGGGATGCTACTTGATGACTACTATGCATCCTGTCTGTTGTCTTCTAACCCATAACTTTTCAGATCTTAGTAACAAGCAAGCCATCAGAAACAATTATGTGTTATGTTTGTTGGCATGTTTATTAAACTCTTCCTGGTTGTACAAATGGGGTTGTACAAAGGGGGGGAAAGCTTTCAGTTTCTCTGTGTGTGTTCATGTGTATATGCAGATGTGAGTGCACATGTGGGGGCTGGGGATCCGAACTCAAGGACTCATGCTTGGGTGGCTGGTAGTTTACATTCTGCTCCACACACCAGTCCCCAGTTTCTGTTTCTCTGGTAAAAAGGCATGCTTATGGAGGCCACAGGACTTCCTCAGTTGCTCTTTGGCTTATTTTTTTTGAGGCAGAACTTTTCACTGAACCTGGAGCTCATGGGTTGGGCTAGTCTGACTAGCCAATAAATAAGCCCCAGAGATCTGCTTGTTTCTACCCCTGTGGCTCTGGGGTACAGATGCATACCACTGTACGTGACCTTCATGTATCCATACTACTGTACGTGATCTTCATGTATCCATACCACTGTATGGGACCTTCATGTATCCATACCACTGTATGTGACCTTCATGCATCCATACTACTGTACATGATCTTCATGTATCCATACCACTGTATGTGGCCTTCATATATCTACTCTGAAAAACACATCTCAACCTTGGCCTCAAATGTATTTAAAAGGATTTTTCACAACCTTCCCTGGTTATTGTGTATACAAATGAGGATAACATTGTGATTTTATCTGCAATGGTCCTCAATCTGGTACATATCTCAATGGACACAGGAAAGGTGTTTAAAGGGAAAATGGTCTATGTAGGAATCTCTTGAGTGTTGTTTCAAAATGCAAGAACTTCTAGTCATGATATAAATGTCACAACCAGTGAAAATTCATATGCAATGTGACAGAAAAGGGTGCTACCAATGAAGATGATATTGGGGTGGCAGGTACATAATTTCCTTGTTATGGTTGAAATATGAACTATCCCCCATGGGTTCATATGTTTGAACACTTGGGTCTAAACTGGTGCCACTTTTTAAAAGGCTGTAGAACCCTTGGGAGGTGGGGCCCCAGCAGGGAGTAGGTCACCATGCAGCAGGGCTGAAGGTTTTGTAGCCCCACCCCACTTCCTGTCCACTCTCTGTTTCCTAGCTGTGGAAGCAATGTGACCAGCTGCCTCTCACTCTGGTCCACAGTGCTTTCCTCGCCGTGATGGACCACCTTTGCAAACCATGAGCCAAAATAAACCATCCATTAAGTTGATTTTATTGTAACAATGAGAAAAATAATTAATATACTTCTCATTTTGTATGATCATGAACCCGCAGCATTGATTGGCATCACCAGGAGTTTCTTGGGAAAGCAGAGTCTCAGTTCCGCATTAGACCTACTGAATCAAACCTTCATTTCTACATGAGCACCCAAGAAAGCACCATGCAGGTACCAGGTGAGAAGCATTATACTATAACATTTCTCCATTCACAGAGCAACAGACAGTAGTAAGATTTACAGAGCAGGGCAGATGGAAAGCTTAGCCATGCCACCTTCTACCACTGTATAACCCACACACTTGCCTCAGGTATAAGCCCAGACTCTAGCTGAGCAGGCTGGTGTAATGAGCTGCTGGCAGGGAGTTTTTCTTTTTCAGTCCACACTGGGTAGGTTGTGTGATGAGTAGCATGCATGCCACACATTCGGTATGCTTAATGAATGCTATTAATAAAAGTGTGACTAACCAGCATTACTCCCATTGGTTTCCTCTCACTGGGAAGGAACTCCACATTGCATAATTCACCAAATTGGGTAGCTCAAGTCTGTTTCCTTCTGAGAAAAAAATCGTCAAGGCAGGCCTGGATCATGTGGCTTCACCAGGAATCCTGACTCGGGTTTTACAAACAAAATGGTTGCCCCTGAAAGGCAACATTTTATTTTTTTTCCACTTCCTCATAACATTGTTTGAGTTCCTCCCTGTCTGAAGCCTCTTTAATCTGTAGGCTTTGAGTTCCACCTTGAAAGTTTTGACTCTCATTATTGATTCCAAAGTAAATACTGACTAAGGTGGTGGCAAAGTCAACATATTCTTTGAGAGGCAATTAATCTTGCTGTTGAGTGAAACCAGATGCCAGAAGTATACACCACACAGTCGAAATTGTTGTACAAATGGGCTCGTAAGAATTCCTCTCTCCGGGGAGCAGCTCCCTCATCCCAACTGTTGTGAAGAGGAAGAGCATCTTTTTCTGACGAGGCCCAAGGAATATTTGACTATATAAATCAGTAACTAGTCTCAAAGCTATTATTGACCTCTGATCCACACATCGGACAGCAAGAAGAGATTGTGGCAGTTATATGGCTGATAAAACCCAAACCTGCTGGTTAATCATTTGCCAAAAGTGTTGCTGGTGACCCCTGATTTAAAAAAAAAAAAAAAGTGAGCCTAATGTGGCCATGTGTCCCTACACTGCTGTGAGCCTAATGTGGCCATGTGTCCCCACACTGTTGTCTGTCAGACAGCAGAGGAAACAGCTATCTGACCCAACATAGCCTGGAGAAAATTTTCCCTTGGCTAAAAGGGTTGACAGATGTTCCTTTCTCTGTCTCTCTCTTCTAACAAAAGGACTCTATGCAATAGAACTCATGCCAGGGAGGCATTCTAAGTGTAGCTGAGTCTTTAGAATGTCTTGGTGAGGTTGGTTTTTAATCCCAATCCAAAGAAAGGGCTACGGTGTTTTTCTTATTTCTTTGTCATCCTCAATGCCTACAATAGTGTTTTATATACTGCAGGTACTTCATAAATATTTTAAAGTGAATCAGTGTTTGCACTGTGCTTCATCTATACACTGCACAGTCTGGATTTAGTCATGTGGTTTGTTGAAAGCAGCTATTTCCTGTTCCATGCTACAGCTTCTAAACAATGTTTCGTCTTATTGTTTCTCTATCACTTGGTACAGGACCTAAGAACTGTAGGTTCAACTCTTCTTTTTGTTGTTTCCAAGAAAGTGAGGTAGCAGATAAGACGTTACAATAACACTTCCCAGGGGGAAAGTCACACTTGATGGGGTAAATCTGGCTAACAACCTGGGAGTTCAGGCCCTGCAGGGGATTTTGCTGAATCAACATGGTATGAAACTGCCTTCTAAACACTTTCTTCTGTACTCAGAGGCTAGAGCAGTTCTCGGTCTTTATCAGAACAGTATCTTTGTGCAGAGATTCACAACTGGTCAAAGTGCAGAGAACCAGTGTCTCTGGAACATTTAGTCATGATGGCACACCTATACTCTATCTCTTCCTTCCAAGGCTCAGGGAACATTGTGGAGGAGTAGGAGACAAGTCCAAGAGCCAAAGTTGGGATGGGGTGAAATCATGTCCTCTGTACATGACAGGATGGCTGCAGTCAGGAATTCACACCACTGTGCTTGCCTGCACAAGACCTGCACAAGATCAAGCCAATCGACATTCCAGTGTTGATAGAGGAGGGGCTTATGATCCCCCACCCAACTGAGAAGTTATTGGCGGTTAATGGTGGCAGTGAAAGAGTCAGTTCACTTTAGGCATGTGGCCCTCAGTAGATGACTCCTCATCTATTCATGCATGTACAGCACTAATTGGATTCAATGAGTTGTTTTGTTGGGTTTTTTGTTTTGTTTTTTAAAGAGAACATGAAGTTGAGAGGGAACATGGAGGGTATCTGAGAGAAGCCAGAGGAGAGGAGATGAATGTGTTCCTAATATATAGTATGCATGTATGAAATTCTCAAAGAACAAATACATATATTGGTTTTTTGAGACAGGGTTTCACTATGTATCCTTGGCTGTCCTGGAACTTGCTCTGTAGACCAGGCTTTCCTCTTGGAGATCCGCCTGCCTCTGCCTCCTGAGTGCTAGGATTAAAGGCGTGCGCCACCACTTCCCGGCCAAAATATATTCTTTTTAAAGAGTAAGATAGTCCTGCTTAGAAATATCTTACTGATGGATTTGATAATCTTTAAAGACATTCTTTAAATCTAAATACCAAAAGGCATCATTCAGCTGGAAGAGTAAGATTCAGAATTTTTCCATCCAAGGTAAACTGAGAGACCTTAGTCTCTCCCTTAAGCTTTCAGCTACATGGTAAAACAAGAATTGGACTCCAGCCTTCATGGTGGTTCGATGAAAGCCTTTATTAATATTTTCTGTGTTTGCTGAAGGAAAATGAGCAGCTGAGCGCACACTAAATAAGAAAACACCAGTGATGCACCGCGCATCTTTAATTAGTGCTAATGGTGCTATGTAATTAATTCAATTTGCCCATCCCTTCTTCAGCAGACACATTCCTTCCCTGCGGTTTCCGCGGGATGCTGAAAATGTGTCCCGATTTGCTACAAATATGTTGCTTTTGTTCCTGACAGTGGCTATGGCATGCAAACACAGACTGTCTTCTGAGCTCATAAGCTGGGATCACACACATATGATCTTTTTGGGGTTTTGTTTGTGTGTGTGTGTGTGTGTGTGTGTGTGTGTGTGTGTGTGTGTGTGTGTACATGCACATGGAGACCAAATATCAATTTTAGATTATCTCCACTGTGCCCCACCTTATTCGCTTAGTTGGTTTATTTATGTGTATGAATGTGTAGTGTGTGTGCGTGTGTGTATAATCTGTTTGCCTGTGTGTGTGTGTGTGTGTGTATACACGCACATGTGTGTGGGTGTGTAGAGGCCAGAGGCTGACATAAGGTGTTTCCCTCAATTGATCTCCATCTTATATATTGAGGCAGGGTCTCTCACTTGAACTACAAGGTCATGTTCATGTAGTCTGGCTACCCAGCTTGTTTGGGGATAGTCTATCTTTCTCTCCTATGTGCTGGGATTACACATGCTATGCTACACCCCATAGCATGATAGTATATGGCTGCTTTCTCAGCAAACACTTTTCCCACTGAGCCATCTCCCCAGCCCCTGCACTTTGTGCTTGTGAGTACTGGTGCCTGTGGAGGCCAGAAGAGGAGGCTGGATCCCCGGCAGCTATAGTAACAGGGGTTTATGAGTTGCCTAGTATTGGTGATGAGTCTCAAACTTCAGACCCCTGCAAGAGCAACAAGTGTTCTTAACCCCAATGGCGGGCTTACAGACATGTACCCCACACTCAACTTTTTACATGGGTGCTGGGGATCTGAACTCGGGTCCTTGCACTTGCCTGACAGGTACTTTGCAAACTGAGCCGTCTTCCCAGCCTCACATTTCCAGTCTTTTACAGGAGAGTTCCCAGAGCATTTGGATATTTGGAGTCACTTTTCCCCTCTTGCTGGCCTAGCTCAGCAGAATCAGCTCAAGCTCTATTCTCAAGATCTATGGCTCTACCAGTGTAACTCTGTCCCTGCAAGGCTGTCGAACTGCAGAGGTCAGGAACTGCTTTTTCTGCCTCTGCTCCCACCTTCTAACCAACAACAGAGTGACTTCGACTTCCAGCTTTATTTCCCTTCAGTGTAATTAGCCCTTCACAAAAACCCTTATTTTCTGCTACTGATTCCTGTTCTGTAAGTTGCAAATGATCTCAGCGCTACCCTCTGTCATATTTCAAGGTGAGCTATTAACCACCCGTCAACCCTCATACATTGTAACTCATGTGACATTGGATTGCCTTTTTGATCGGGGACTTCAGCTAACTCACAAAGATGTGAGCAGTGACTATCCTTTGGATATGATTGTCAGAGAAAATATCTCACATACTTCAGAATGCAAAGCAAGGCCAGTATTGTATTACATACACCACTACGGCGAAACGGAAGATGAAATCCTGGAAGGATGAGAAAGAAAATAACCACAAAGCAAGACAGAAGCAAAGCAAGACAGAAGCCAACCTCTGCATACGGCACAGAGTCCAGGCCCTGGACTAAAATTGGCTATAATCAATGCCACATGAAAGAGATACAGAGGGTATGTGTTTGGTTTCTCAGCAGTGTTCCCTTTTGATGGAAAATTGACCTTTGGAAGAAAAGATGACAGTCTGGTCTGATGCCACTGTTCTCCGGGAAAGCCATTTCTATTTTATAATCCAAGAGAAAAAAGTGAAAGTCATTATGACAGATAGGGCCAGAGTTGTCACCGTTTAGTCTCCTATAGGAACTTAAAAGAAGTTTCTGTCTGCCCAGGCAGCCTCTGCCTACAACACAGGCTACTTTGGGTTCTGTCACCCTCAGCTAAGTACTTTCAAGCAGCAAAAGCAGCCCATCATCTTATGGGACAGCCTTGCCCAGGCAGCCTCTGCCTACAACACAGGCTACTTTGGGTTCTGTCACCCTCAGCTAAGTACTTTCAAGCAGCAAAAGCAGCCCATCATCTTATGGGACAGCCTTGCCCGTGCCTCACTTAAGCTCCTTCCTGGTATGTTATAATTCTCAGCATAAAATCTACATTCATATTTTAGCCCGATTTTCTTCTTCTCCTTTCTGGAACTCTGATAAGGCACGTGTGAGACTTTGATGGGGATTTTTTTTTTTTTACTTTGTTTGGTAGAGTAGCACTAGGGAGTTGAACCCGGGGCTGCACTTAGACCACACACATTCTCCACAAATGAGGCACAACCCCAGCTCCTTTTTGTCTTTCTTGACATCCTTTTTATGTTTTCCTTCACTATCTGTCCTGCATTCTGTATAATTTCTCCAAATCTATATTCCACTTCACTAATTCTCTCACTGGCCATACATAATACAATGCTGAGCAAGTCCATTGAGTCCCATGTTATAATCAGAGTTCTTTTGTAAAGTATCATTTAAAAATATATCTTCTCTCTTGTGTTTGTTTCTTATTTCTCAAACTTATCTATTTGTTTGCTGATCTGACTTTGATATAGGAGGCTTCTTTTAAAAAAATAATTTTGGGATCATTTCAGTACTGAGGGCATGGTATGTCTTGTTTTTCCTTTGTTCTTGTTCACTTTGAAAGGCCTGCTCTCCTTGAATGCCCATGTGTTGAGTCATTCTTGAGAATTATGCATTTTCCTTAGGAAATAGTTGGAGGGAATTGTGTGAGATATGGGCTGCTAAGTCCCCAAAGCAGCATTACTGCTCTGGGACAAGTTGAAATAAGTTCCTGACTTGAGATTTTTTTCTGGACTGCTCAGGATTTATATTGTGAACTTCAGCTGCAGATTTATAAGTCGATTTATTTCCAGAATGGTGTCTCTCGTCCAGGAGTTTAGTGCCCCCTGATCTGTTCAGACCCAGAAAACTCCCTTTGGTGGGGTACATGAATTTCCGGTTCATCATTAGACATTAAGGGTGGAGCTCTGTGGGGTTTCAACTTCATAGATAGATGATTTACCTTAGATTTTCGTCTAATAGTACTCCATTATCATGTCAACTTTTAAATGGTTTCAAGATGTCTTTCAGCATGTGTGTGACCTGGGCTAACTGTGGTTGTTTGGGACAAGATGGCCGAGAGCCTCTGGTTGACCTCAGCGCTCACAGCAGCCGAAGTCTCATCTGTGAGGGGATCAAGGCCAGGTGACCTATCTCAACTGTACTCAGTCTGCTTCTCTGTAAAATGGGGAAGTAGTGGTACCAAGCTCGAAGGACACTTGGGAAACAGATCCAAAACAACAAGGGAAGGATGCAGATCAATGCCCAGACCACAGGAAGCCCTCTGGAGTCAGCCCTGCTTTCTTTTGTTAAGAGAAATCTTCGGGGGTAATCCCCAATGTGATTGTTAGTTTTAAATGTCAACTTGACATGCTATAGAACCACCTGAGAGGAGAGGATCTCCAGGAGAAACTGAACAGAAATGCTTGGCCCGCAGGCGTGCTTGGGAGGGGTTTCCTTAGCTGAGATAATTAAGATAGGAAGACTCTCCCTGAACATTGATGACATACTTTCCCCGGCTGAGTCCTGGCTTTAGGAAGGGTACAGAAAGCTAGCTGAGTATTGGCGTGTGTGTGTGTGTGTGTGTGTGTGTGTGTGTGTGTGTGTGTGTGTGTGTGTTCTCTCTGCTCCTTACTGTAGAGGTGACTGGCTGTTTCAAGTCCTTACCACCTTGACTTCCCTGCCACGATAGACCGTTACCTAGCTAGAACTGGGAGCCAAATGGGCTTTTCTCCCGCCGGTTTCTTTCCATCAGAGTATTTTATCACGGCAGCAGAATATAAGCTTGGAAATCAGGCCAGGTACAAAGATCTGTACTGTCTACTCCGTTTCCTTTTTCTGTGCTGTCTGTGTGTTAGCAGTGAAGACAAAATAAGAACAGACCTGTAAAGTTCTCAGTGTCATCCATGCAGGGGTGGCGCACGCCTTTAATCCCAGCACTTGGGAGGCAGAAGCAGGTGGATCTCTGTGAGTTCAAGGCCAGCCTAGTCTACAGTTCCAGAACAGCCAGAGCTACACAGAGAAACCCTAAAAGAAAAAAAAAAAAAAGAACCTGAGTGTGAGGGGAGCTGTGATCACCAGCTGCAGACACTGGGCCACTGTTTTGGGTCAGCCATGAACCATCCACTTTAAGAATGTGGTGGCAAAGGGATCTCTGGAAAGAGAAGAATGTGATGTTGTCCTTCTGTTTCAGAGAGTATGTGTGACAAGGTGTTTAGATGGAAACCAGGAACAGGCTTCGGTGTGCCTCCAATGTTTAGCACTTAACTACACAAATGTACACAGTTACAGAAAGAGCCCCATATCCCTCTGGGCTCTGCCTTTTGATTTACACTGAGAGGAATGACTTATAAACATTTGTAGCAAGTCACCAGAGCAAAGGGGGGAAAATGTGCCCTGCAGTATGGCAGGAAGGGAATTAATCTCTTAGGCTGAGACTCCATATAGTCAGGCATCTGGGAAATAAAATCCAAATGACTCTTGAGGGCAGGTGGAAAATAACCATGATGCAGGACTTGTCCTGAGTGTCAGACTTCTGTGAGATGTCTGACACTCAGGACACAGACCTAGGTTTTGGGTGCTTTTGTGGTTGTTACTGTCACTGATTTTGGTTTTTCAAGACAGGGTTTCTCTGTGTAGCCCTGGCTGACCTGGAACTAGCTCTATAGACCTGGCTGTTTCAGAACTCACAGAGATCCACCACCTGCCTCTGCCTCCCAAGTGCTGGGATTGAAGGCGTGCACCACCACTGCCCGACTCGGGTGTTTTTTTTTTTTTTTTTTTTTTGGTTTTTGAGACAGGGTTTCTCTGTGTAGCTTTGCGCCTTTCCTGGAACTCACTTGGTAGCCCAGGCTGGCCTCGAACTCACAGAGATCCGCCTGGCTCTGCCTCCCGAGTGCTGGGATTAAAGGTGTTTATTCGTGCTGAACTTACCATAATTTCCGATGTTGTCATCACTACCCTTTGCCATCTTACAGCAGGCTGCATGTCAGGTGCCTGGTGCAGGGATGCTATGGAAGTAAGTGTAGACCTCAAGCATATATTTCAGGCCAGTGTCTCTATCTCACATCTGAAATGCAGAAGAGAGATATCACAAAAATGAGTATCATTCCCCTCCATGGAGGCTGGTGTGTGTGGGGGGGGGGTTAGATAACTGGAAATAAATTACAATAAAACCAACTGAAAACATGTTTTGTTCCTAGTGGAATAATGCCTTCACACAGTGTCAGTCAGCTTGGGGCAGCAATCCTAACTGCCAGTATGCTGTCCGTCATAGCTGAAGGGAGAAGAGGCATGCAAGCCCTCATCTGCATAATTTTTTAAAGGTTGACTTAAATCTAGCAATTACCATAGTCTAACCAAGTGAGAACTAAGAGTCCTTAAAACTGATGGACAGGCATTCGCACTGAACTGTCCATAAGAACCATGTCGTGAAAGTTTTAAAAGTCTGATGGAATTGAATATTCTGATGTCATTATTTTTGTGTTTTATTTCTTTTTCGTTGGCCCAGATTGCTGTAACATGGTTTTGACAATCGAGAACTGGTGCACTGGTCTAGCCTTCTGCTATTATGGAATCACTCTCAACAGCATTTAGGGTAAGGAAAATGTGTTCCCAGTGGGCAGTGGAAGAGATGTAACTATCTCAGGGTCACAGATAGGTAAACCAAGGCCTAAGTCATTCAAGGGTTGATTTGAGGTTTCGCTCTATCGTGGCTCAAGGATCAAAATGCAGTAGATGAGTTTGGGGAGAGCACAGTCCCTCAGCTCCCCCACTCTTCTTCAATAAACAACCACATACTATCCATTCTCAGACCTGGGAAAGACAGCAAAGTGGAATGAGAAAATGAAAGCTTTTCACTCCTATCTGTGTCCCCTGAATTTCTTAGTCCATGTCCTCCCCGCTCAAGTGTGGTGTTTGAATGAGAATGGCCCCCATAGGATCATGTGCTTCAATACTTGGTCTCCAGTTGCTGGAAGTATTTGGGAAGGATTGGGAGGTGTGGCCTTGTTGGAGAAGTCACATCGCTGAGGGCTAGCTTTGAGGTTTCAAAAAGCCCATGCCATTCCCAGTTAACCTCAGGCTTGTGGATCAAGATGTGAGCTCTCAGTTGTTGTTGTTTGAATCTTAGGTGGTCTTTTAATAAAAAATAAAAAAAATAAAAAAATAAAAAAATAAAACAAAGCCAGATATCAGGGTGAAAGCTGAAAGATCAGAGAAGCAGAGCAGCCAGCCACTAGTTCTTACCTCTATGAAATCCTCAGCCTAAAGAGAGTGAGTTCCTATTTCCTCATGCCTTATATACCTTTCTCTGCCCTGCCATATTACTTCCTGGGATTAAAGGTGTGTGTACTTTTCCAAGCAAAGACGTGAGATCTCAAGTGCTGGGTTTAAAAGTGTGTGCCACCACTGCCTGGCTCTGTTTCTCTCCTATACTGGATCAATCTCATATAACCCAGTGTGACCTTGAACTCACAGAGATCCAAACGGATCTCTGACTCCTGAGTGATAGGATTAAAGGTGTGTGCCACCACTGTCTGACCTCTATATCTAATCTAGTTGCTGGCTCTGTCCTATAGTCCTCAGGCAAGTTTATTAGGGTATGAAATATATCACCACACTCAGTTACTGCTCCAGCACCATGCCTGCCTGCTGCCACGCTTCCCCACCTTGATGGTCATGACTCTAATCCCCTGTAATATAAGGATTACAAATAAACTCTTTTTTTCTGTAGGTTGCCTTGATCATGGTTTCCTATCACGGTAATAGAAAAGTAATCAAAGTCACAAGCATCTACTACATGATGAAAAATGGAATGGCCACATTCACATACCCTCGCCCCTGGCTTCCAGGCTCTGTGCCTTATGTGGAGAGAACACATCACTTTCTATACTGAATGGCTGAGCCAAGAATTTAAACAGGCTTTCGTTTTTCTCAGAGGATGTTTATCTTTCAAGCATGTTATGTTGATTTTTCTACTCTTTGTGGCAAAGTACCCAACAATAGCAACTTCAGGGAGGAATGTTTGACTCACGGTTTACGGGGAATAGTCTTTCGTGGTGGAGAAAGCATGGCCACCAGGGCTCCATCAGAGAGAGAGCTAGGCCAGGCTCTCAAGCCTCACCCCCTACGTCTGATAGCCAGGCCTCACATTCCCAACGATCCTCTCAAACAGTGCCAGAGTTTGGGATCAAGCACAAGAGCCGGGGAGGATATCTCACGCTCAAACTCTAACTAATGATTTTTAAATTCAAAAAATCCAGGAGCTACCCTGAAGAATAGAAATATTTGTCACTGAGGCAGAGGTCCAGATTCCCCTCATCCAGACTGCTCTCTACCTCTCTGTAACTCTCCTTTCCCTCTTTCCCTTCCTCGGCCCTTCTTCCATCTCCCTTTTTGGTGGTGTGTACAGGCTCATGCTACACAGCCCAGGGGTGTACAAATTTGAACTTTTGATTGTTCTGTCTCGGCCTTACTAGGGCTGAGATCACAAGTGTGAGTCAGTCCCCATGCCTGACCTGTCAGTTTAAAAGTTTAGAAAAAGTGAGTCCGTGAAGGGCTTCATCTTACGCGGGAAGTGTGGTTTCCTTCACATTAGCCTCACGCTCTACAAAGAGCTGTGATGAGGTGGGAGTTCTCAGATGTTTATGACTTAGGTGTCTCCCCACCTTTTCACATTTTATTCACCTCCTCTCTGCCCACTCATTCCCTCCCCCCCCTTTCTTATGCTCTGGTGCAGTCTGAGGCATTGCTTCAGCCCCAGGCTCCCACAACCCACCCTCTCACTTTGTCCTAGTTTATCTCAGTTTGAAGCCGGAATGGGTGAGGCTGGGCCTGGAATTTGGGCCTGGAAACAAGGTTTTTGGAACCTGAACTGTGGGAAAACTGAGGTGGGACAAATAGACAGAAAGCAGGAGAGAGGCTGGGTCTGTGGGGTGCTACAGAGTTCAGAATGTCGGGGTTTGTTGGATCATTCTGTTGTTGCCATGGAGTGCATGCCCTTGGCTAGGGAACCATGGGGTGTGTAAATAGTCTGAAGCCAACACAGCATCAATTGAGGAAGAGCCAGCCTGTCCTGGAACCCAAAAGATGATGGGAGACTTAGTTTATGTTGACAAATCCAGGCTTGGAAGGCTATTTCAACACTAAGATGTACTACCCAGGAATATGTGTCCTGGTGGCATGTGGCTGGCTTTGGTGCCTGGCACACAGGCTCTAGGGATTGTTGGAGAATGAGTGCATCCCTGAAGCTCTACCGACTAGACACAGAGATGGACATATTCATGGTGTGGACCATACAGAATTTGGCTTGCCTGGACCCTGTTCTTGGTTGAGCTAGCTCTTTAAATTCTATGGGTCTTTGTTTTCTCACTTGTACAATACTGTCTATTGCAAAGAGTGAATATGTTTGCTATTATTGTACACCAAAAATTGATTAAGTTCCCCATGTGTGGATTTTTATACTTGGTACTGAGACTAATAAAAGATACTTATGAAAGTTTTAACAAATGACAAAGTAAGCTTTCTTTGACTACATAATCTATTAACTGGACGTTCCCAACATGGAATATAAAGGTGATTAATATTAATTATGACCCTAGAAAAGTCTTTTCTGATTATCAATAAATTGAATATAAGCAATATATTAAATATGTTTCTAGTTATATTTCTAATGAATTTTCAGTTAGGAAAATTAATATACCAAATGTGTTATATGACACCTTCCTGCTTATCTGAATATTACTAAACAGGTCGAATTTGATCACCGTACTAAAGGATTTGTAATCGCAAATGTAGTCTCATGTTCCAAATCACTGGAAAATCTGCGTGGAAGACATGAAACCTGGGCCTAGTGGTGTAGGCCTATAATCCTGGAGACCTAGCAGGCAGAGTCGGGAGTTCAAGTCCAAGACCTGCTCCACTATAGAGTAAGTTCAAAGCTAGCTTGTATAGCTCAGTGAAATCCTCTCCAAAAAAATGTCATAAGAAAACCTGATATTTAGTAAACTAATTAAAAAAAATAAAATGTGAACAGGGTTGCCCTGTGTGGGTTGACAAGGCAGACCCAGAATCATCTGTTCCAGTCTTGTTTCTGTTGTGATGATTAATATCCCCAGAAAAGCAACCTAGGGGAAAATGAGGCTCTTTGGCTTATAAGTCTAGGTTGTAGTCCATCATTGAAAGAAATTAAGGCAAGAATCCAAGGCAGCTACTCATGTCACACCCAAGATCAGAGCAAATAAATGTGCACAAGCCAAGTACTCATCTGGCTTTCTTGTAGAAAGATACAAGAGTCCTGCAGAGTCCAGAACCCAAAACTAAGTGTTGCTAAAACTCCCTCCCAGGAAGAGACAGAAGCGAGGCCTACACCCCTCCTAAGGTCCCATCAACAAACCAAGGCACAATTCCATCCAAGTTGACCCTGGGGAACTAATGCATTGATTAGGCTTCCTTACAGGGCACAGGTGAGAGGTTACAAACAATAGTTTGTTAGGAGTAAGGTGCCTCTCCTCCTAACAAACTACACATGGAAAGCCTTTCCCCAGGAGGGATGATGGCTCTCCTCATTCTTCCCCAGATCCTCTGGCCCCTCCCTGTGACACACCCCCCCATGACCACATGCAGTTAAGGCAGGATTGCATCAACTGGTCGGGCAGGGAGGCCAGATACTCCAGTGAGGCCTCTCACCACTTTCTTCCACGAAGGAACATTAACAGTCAGCAAGCCCAGCTATGATGATCTTTGGTAAGCAGATCCAGCTGGATTCCTGGAGACGGCCGCAGTTTGGCTCTGAAGATAGTCCTGTACAGTGCCAGGGAGTGATGTCACCCACTTTCATGCTGAGTCTTCCCATATCAACTAAGACAGTTAGGACAATCACTCCACAGACATGCTCACAGGCTAATCTGATCTTTTAATTGAAGATGGAAACTCTTTTTGAAACGTATTGAAACTCTCTTCTCAGGTGATTCTAGACTGTGTCAGGTTGACAAAACCAACCACCACATCATAGGTCATTAAATGAAAATCCCAGGACCAGTGGTAGATTACCTCCATAGTGTTATTGGCCAGGAAGGCACCTGAGTTCCCCAAAACAAAATAGGCAATTACCACCAAGGTTGGCTGCCCATCAGAACTAGACAGTAAGTTCCTATTGCTGGAGGTTGCAGACACGAAGAAATCAAGCTGTAAGTAGGCCAACTGACTCTTCAATTGCCAAGAGGTGTTTTTCAGACTGCTGGGGAAGGGTTGTCATCAACGGTCTAATTTAGCTTCAGACATTGTGTGCAATAAACCAACTGACTGTTCAAGATGTGCCCACCGGTGCCAATAATGGCAGATTTGCTCAGGGGTGACTAACTACTTTTTATTGGTATTGGGACCTGCTCCAGGGGAAGAAATTCACATCTAGTACTGAAAACCTGTCCAGAATCCCATGGCCAGGAAGGTCATCTACCCTGAGGGGTGGGGGTAAGTTACAGTGGCTGCTTTACTAAATGGATATTATGTGCCCAGAAAATTGTCTTCTAAGTAGTTACGTGTATGCCCATGGGTTAGTGTCACTTTTAGCCTTTGTCAGAGAAGTTCCTTTTCTTTTCTTTTCTTTTCTTTTTTTTTCCCCAGTGGACAGTGGCTGCTGCAGAGACTCAGGACTATTCAAAGTGCTGAGGAGGATAAGAAAATTTTGAATGCTCAGCCATAAATGGAACATCTGTATTACTCCACCCAAGGCTTGGAGACATTGAGGAACAGAGGAGGAACGAAGTAAGGTCTGGAGGATAGGGTGGGACTTTGTGGAATACTGACTTCCAAGTATGACACTGCCATTGTATGCCTAAACTCACAAAGGCTGTTACCATCTACACAAAGTCTGCACAAAATTGAGCTCATTGAAGTCCTGTCATGGACGAGAAAGGGGTTCATGAAACTCTACCATTTGCTGAGCATCTAGAAACAGCTGATAACTGCTGAAGAGGAAAAGATGTTTTCCTCAGTATGGAAAGCTGCTGGTGAGGTTTCCATGTTCTTGTAGACAACCTTCACCTTGCTCCTATTCATTGGGTCACAAAGAAACAAAAAGACATAAAAGCTGAAGGATTAGTTGGGAAGGGAAAGGGGATGAGTGGGAGTTAATGGGGTTGAATATAATAAACCAATTATATACATGTATGAAAATGTCCTGCCACACCCATTTTGCATAAATAATATATGCTTAATAAAAGTTATTGGAATTTTTGTTGTTGTTTGTTTTGAGACACAATTTCTCAGTGTAGTCTTGGCTGTCCTGGAACTCACTCTGTAGACCAGACTGGCCTCAAACTCAGTGATCCACCCGCCTCTGCCTCCCAAGTGCAGGAATGAAAGGCGTGTGCCACCACCACCCAGCAATAAAACATTTTTTAAAGTAATATAGGACTAGAAATAGTCCAGTGGTGGAGCCCTTGCCTAGCTTGCGCAAGACCCTGAGATCAGTACCCATCACCATGGAGAGAGAGGGAGAGAGAGAAGGGAAAAAGGAAGAGGAAGAATCCCTGCAGACTCAGGCCTGGAATTCTGGTCATGCTCCCAGGACACCCTTTGTGTACTGTGTCTTACTGATTCACAGATTGCTTGTGTATATTTCTTAAAATATGAGTCAGGAGATTCTAAAAAAGATCAAAATGATTTATAAGTACTCGATTTTAGAAGAGCCAAATCTCATATATTTCATGAACAAAGGACATGAGTTAATTTGTTTGTTTACAAAACTGAGCACATTATAAAACTTTATATTTTTCATTTACCACTTCAAAACACACTTTATGGACATGAGCTGATTAATCTTTAAAACTACCCCTATACAGCATTATTATGATGATCTTTGTTCCTTATTGAGAAAATGGAAGATTGTGTGATTAAATTATATGTTTCATTGGGTTCTAAGGGTCTTGATACTAGTGCTCAACTTTAATCATTGTAACGTGGGCTAGAAAAAAATTATTAGATAACCTTTTATGGCCAATTATTCATTTCAGAACAGTCTGGTCATAAAAATAATTTTTTCTTCTCTTACTAAACCTCTGTTGTCATGGAAATCTTTCAGTTCCCCCTGTCCTCCAATTGGCTGCCTCAGAACAGCCATAAACAAGCAGATTAGCTGTGGCCCAGGGAAGTCTCCGATGGGATGGTGGGAGTAGGGTCGCTAAGGGACTCTATTACATGCTTGGCCAAAGTCCGTCTCTCAGGCTAAGGACCACAGCATGAAAGGACTGCTACCTAGGCTCTGGGACAATGGCTGCTTATCCCAACCTGCTTAACACTCTCCCTCATTCTAAGCCACACACAATAAATCCATTACAGTTTATTGTGTAGAAATCCTATTTTATCTTGATCAGCTAAAGAGCATGAAATTCTGTTTACCAGGAATGCCACAGTATCTCTCAGAATCTACTTTCCCCTAAAACTGCAGAAACAGTCGAGGTTTGCCGTTTGCTTTTTATTTAGTCCATGGGCTTTGTTAACTAAGATGGGCATGATTTCATTCAGGCTGGGGAACCTGCCTGATGTATTTATAAGATTTTATATTTACAAGGAAAAAAATACTGTACTTGAATCACATACTAGAAGAGCTATGCATCACAGTCCATAAATGTGTTGAAACATGTAGGTTCTAGATTATAAAACTGTAAAATTTTACTCAGACGTGGTGCATTAGTTATTTGTCTTGTTGCTGCAACAGCATGCTTGACAAGATCCCTGGCTGTGTTGTGGGGTCTCCACCAGAGAAGATGCTCAGACATGGGTTTAAGCCAATAGAAAGTCTCTATTAGCCAGCCTGTGACTACCCTGGATGTTCGGATCCTAGTATAACCTCAAACCTTTCTCAGAGTGAGCTTTTATGCACAAAAACCATATCCTGGGTTGACATACAAGAAGAGTTAGCCAGAAGAGGAACTACAGAAGCCAAAAGGCAAGGTTAGTACATTTGGAGACTTTCCCAGAAATATAGACTTTGATGGATTAAGTCTTTGTTTTAGTTTTGGCAGGTGGTGCTGTCTGCACGTTGAGTTTTAAGGCCCAAATGGTATTTCCATCATGGAGTCAGTTGTGCTAAGGTCTAGGGTCCCTATCACAGAAGAAAAAGAGGGATGGAGGGAATGGGGGAGGGAGGAAGGGAGGGAGGGAGGGAGGGAGGGAGGAAGGGAGGGATGGAGGGAGGGAGGAAAAGGGCTTATTTTGGCTCAGAGTTCCAAGGTACAGCCTATTGTGGTGGGGAATCAATAGTGGCAGGAGCTTGAGGTAGCTGGTCATGTTGCACCTGTAATCAAGAAGCAGACTTCTTTGTGCTTCTTTGCCTTCAGTGTGAGAGCCCAGACCAAAAATGGCACCACCTACAATTAGGGCAGTTTGTCTATCACAGTTAACCTAATCTAAATAATCGCTTACATGCCTGCCTAGAGACTTGTTTCCTTAGTGAGACTAAATCTCATCAAGTTGACAATCAAAATTAACCCTATACATGGTGACATACACCAGAAATCCCAACACTCAGGAAATGGGAGTAGGAAACTATAATTTTGAGGCCACATAATAATAACAACAACAACAACATTTCCAAAAGATATGTTTGCATGGAATTTCCAGTGTTTCTATGAGTCTAAAACATCTTGGTTTGGACATCACAAACTGGAGGCCTCTGCTTTCTACCTTCTCAGTAACTCATTTTTTATTTTCCTCCACAAGTATACCTCCCAACACTCAGATTTTCATGTCCTACATATTTCAGACACCAGCTTTATCCTGTCCAAAGAGCACCTGTGCTAGCTAATTCCTCCTGTGTTCCCTTTCTCAAAAATGACAATTACCATCTAGGCAAAGGTGGCACACACCTTTAATCCCAGCACTCAGGAGACAGAGGCAGGAGGATCTCTGAGTTCAAGGCCAACCTGGTCTACAGAGCCAGTTCCAGGATAGCCAGGGCAACACAGAGAAATGCTGTATTAGAAAGCAAGCAAACAGCCTGCTCAGCTGGACACCTACTAAACTGGAAGCTGTCTTTAATAATTCCCTTTTCCTCCCTCTAATATCAATGGCCCCCTACTCTTGTGAACCTGACTCCCAGATTCCTTTTCAAACATAACCCTGTTTTTCTACTTCTGCTTTCTCTATCTTAGCCCAAGTCTTTACCTGGAAAGTAAAGTCTTTATTCTAAGAACTTGGGTGGTTTTTTTTTTTTGGTGGGGGGGGGAGGCAAACTTAGAAATAGCTTCATAACCCAAGCCCCTGCTTGGCTTGAGCTACATGCACATAACCTTTCCCTAACAACTTCCTTAGGAACCTAGTATGCCACCCGAACTAAATAGCACACACACACACACACACACACACACTTCTCTAAACAAAAACAATCTGGTCACTCTGGCCTACAGCTCCCTAGAAAACTTTAGTAACCCCCACCCACTTTTTGTGGCCAAACACATCCTGGAACATAGCCAGGAACTAGGAGGAGTGGGTCTGTCCACCTTTGTTTTCTGTTGTGTTGATAAACACCAACCAAAACCAACGGGGGTGAGGGGAGGGGAATGGGGGAGGGCAGAATGGTTTATTCCACCTTATGACTCTGAGGTTAAAATCTAACACAGGGACGTCAGAGCAGGGACTGAAGGCAGGAACCTGGAGGCAGGAGCTCAAGCAGAAAGCATGAAGGCGTGGTGATGTATTGTGTCCCCCAATGTATTGTGCACCCTAATAAAGTTTATCTGAGGATCAGAGGAAAAAGCCAGCCACTATATTAAATATAGAAGTCAGGCAATGGTAGCACACGCCTTTAATCCTATCACTGGGGAGGCAGGGATCTGTCTGGATCTCTGTGAGTTCAAGGCCACACTGGGAATAGAGCCAGGCATGGTGGCACACACCTTGAATCCCAACACTAGTCAACCATAAAGGTCTGGAGGTCTGTACAGACAGACAGGAAGTGACAGAGCTGGGCAGAAAGAGGAAGTGATGTAGCTGGGCAGAGAGAGGAAGTGAAATGCAGACTAGAAAAGCATACAGGCATGGGTATACAGGAAGTAGGTCTCTTTGGCGGAGGATCTCCAAGTGGTAAGAACGTGGAGGGCTTCTTTCTGCTTTTCTGTTCTCTCAGCTTTTTATCCCAGTATCTGGCTCTGGGTTTTTTATTAATAAGACCATTTAGCACTTTGTCCTACATGAAGGAATGCTGATTACTGGCTTGCTCTCTGGCTCCTAGTTAGCTACATTTCTTACATAACCTTGGCCGACCTGCTAAAGATGGCACCACAACCCCCACAGTGAGCTGGGCCTTTCTACATCATCGGTAACCAAGAAAATGCTCCCATGGGCATGCCCACAGGCCACTCTGATAGACGGAGGCAATTCTTCAGTTGAAGTTCCCTCTTCCCAAGTATGGCAAGTTGATGACAACCAAGATTAGCCAAGTTGACAACCAATCCACCCCGCACTGGTTTTGGATGCATGTGCAGTAAGGCACACTGTCTTCTGCATGAATATGTAGGGGAAAGTCCTATTCATAGTCTTATGCCTATGCATGATTGGGCTTGAATAAGATTAAACTTAGATGCATCTTCAGAAAGGAAGTGTGTGGTGGACACAGGCTTACACAACTAAAGCCCATCAATAAAAACAGAATGTCACCCATATAATACACATGACAACCAGCTCTTCCTCCTTGGCCAACAAAAGCAAGCCTTGGGCAGTCATGAGATGCTCTTGAGCCGCATGTTTCTGAAAGGTCCACCGTTCCCTTGCACTTTCAGATTGCTCCTATATAAAGGCCCCGCTGCTTTACCGTTTGTGTGCCCTTTAGTTCTTGGAACACAAAGCCAAGAACCTGGAAACACCAACCTGACTGCACCCACTGGTAGTGGTCTCCCTGTCTCCACTGATTAACGCTGCTGCATTGATTAACTTTGCTTTTCTTGTTGTTCATCAAAATCTCTGACAGTGACAACAGAGGGGAGGGAGAGTTTGTTTTGGCTGCTGGGATCAGAGAGGATCTGTTCAGTACACACAGAGGTTAGGCCGCAAGAGCGGCTCTGTCCATGGTGGTAGTCAGGACTACACCCCAGAGTCTTCTCAGATGTGGGAAAGAACAGGTGTGTATTAGTCAGGATTCTTTCCAGTCACAGAACTTATGGAATAAACTCTC